GTACACATAAAGACGGACAGACAATCCATCCTGTCACCTATAGGTTACCTGAACAGCGGTTGTAAAGTGACGTCTAGTGGCGCCAACTAACTCCTGGTTAACCCAAACATCTACCAAGAGGTGGGATGTGAGAGGAACTGAGGTGGGAAATGTCTCCAAGTCATAGACCACGCCTTTAATTATGCATAACTCTAAGCTTTAAAACAATGAATATGGTTGAGTTATGTAAAAACGTCGCTCCCTATACAGTTCATACATTACTTTAAGAAACCAAAATCATTTTATGTACCATGAAACATGGTTATTTCTGTGGTACAGTTAAGCATTTTAACATGGGGGGCTCTACAGGGACTGACTCTCTTTTGGAACCTGCCTTAAGTGACCATTGGAGGAACTGCAGCTTTGGCGCTTCCACATTGGCTTTATTTTTCCACCACCTGGATGCTGCTGCTGCTGCTGCTGCTGCTGCTTGGTAGCGACATTCCCACGTTGGCCCACCAGCAGCGGCGCATTTCGTGCCAACCTGCGATGATGATTGTTTTGCCAGAGCCTAAGAAGGAAGCCATCGTACTGACGGAGATGCGGTAGGCTTCAGCAACAAAGGACTATAGCAGACCCTCTGGTGGAAAAACCTAGGAGGCATCCAAGAGAGGTTCCTGATGCTCCTGATTTAAACAGAAGTGATAGACGGCACTACTCTCGCTGCCAAAGTTGTGAATGCAGGTCTAAACCAACCTTACAATGTGTTTTCTTAACTTTACAGCAGGTCAAGCAGCTGCACAAGATCAACACTCTCAAGGCTCAGTTGATGATAAAACACCATCAGGAAAAGTAAAAAATCGTCACTCAGGTTCCCCTTCAAGGGTTAACATTCTATTTTTTGGCTAAAACTTGTCTGTGGAATTGAATTCTATTTGGGGTTTGGCTGTGGGGGGAAAAGGAAACAATGCGATGCTCTTCTGAGCGAGTGTGTGCACGTCTGCACTCCTGCAGTCATTACCAGTCAGGCTAATCAAACTCACACTGTCAACACACCACAATGACTGATTGGGGCTGTCAGTCACCGTGCTGTGTGTCAGTTTGCTCAAGCTTTTACTGCAGATCCGGAACAACACACACACACACACAATTAGACAGCCTGCCACGTTTATCCAGTCAGACCGTATTGAAACGAGTCTTCAGAAATTAAAAAAAAAGAACAAGTCATGTGTTGAAAAACAGCACACATGTACAAAACTCATGTTTATCCTGCCATGACAGGATTACATGTACGAGACTGGAGATGGACTGATGCAGATAATCAAGGAAACAGATATTTGGAACTGTTATAGATTAAAGCATAAGATAGAGGGGAACTACTTAGATATAAATAGGTTTCTTAATTAGTAAGGGTTGCTATACCTGAGTATGTCCATATATTTATAGGTCAATCCCAACACACAGGTCACAGTTTGACACGAATCGGGAAACAAACGGCGCTTCCGGTTGGGTGGTCTTCATCTTTAACATCCTGTATTGCATTCATGTGAAGATCTATTAACCGCTGATCCAATTTCCACCCTTACCGAACTTGCTCTGACATATCTGCCTTCTAATTTATTCACATGGCAACGAGAGATCACCGTCATGTACGTGTTGTTGCTGTAACATGTCTCAGTGTCACACATTGTTATCTATTTATAATGGAACCTTTCTATGCTTGTACACAACAAGCATTATAAAACTCAACATCAATGTAAAATCAGCTGCTTGTTTTTAGTACTGCGGTGGTACAAATACATTAAAAGGCTTCCACCGACTCCGCGCACCCAGTCAGTACAGTACACTAATTAAATCTGGTCTCTAAGATAATCTGCACTATCAGTATTGCAATTAAAACCATACTGTTCCATACTCATTACCCTTCGATTAGAATAATGAGTCATTAACGCTGCTGGATAGCGAATATGTGCCCCAACAGGAAAATTAATGATCCCATCTAAACTGACTCATGAACTTCTGCCTCCTCGAAAACATATTGAAAAACTTTTTCCTCCCCGCAACAAAGAAACGGAGGCTTGTTTTCTTTAAAGCTCTCCACCCCTACAGAAGACGGATTAATGTCTCATAACTAATGGAACGGCTCATAACATCACACATGAGTTGCGTGAATGTGATTTAGTTTGCTCCTAGCTAATGATTTAAAAGAAAAGAGAAGTGAGAAACTACTTTTGTCACATGGACAGAAAGAAATCCAATGTAATTTTATAAATATCAGGTGAAACTGAACTTGTGGTTCAAATGTTGACAATACATTAACGAACATGTCTGTTTCAAGGAATATATTGGACAAAAAAAAACATCTACTAGTAGCTTGTGACCAAAACAATACGCAAAACAACCTTAATTCACATTTATCTTGTCTGTTAACAGACGTATTTATATTTAAAATGAGATTCTTCTCTGTTTAGGGAAGAAAAAGACGATAAATTAAACACACATCACTGCTACATAGCAAGCAATCACTGGGGTAATTTGCTTTCAACAGTAACCGAAAGGTAATTTTCTTTGTGTGTGGGTGATAAAATGCATCTCAGGGTTTTTATTTTTATGACATTGGACAGTTGGGCTTTGCACGAGCACAAACAGGATTGGAGTTAAGTGCAGACTTGTTTCACCTGCTTTAAAAGTCACAACTCACAGCCAGCCTGTCTCACACTGGATTTTGTTGGGTTTTTTTTTAATACACATTTGGAATTCCTCCAGTATTTGTTCGTTGACAGTAGAGAGCAACAGAAAGCATGTAGGAGGAGGAACACAGAGCCGACAACTCAACTTAAAACTGAAGAAGATGATGCACCCCCCAAAGCGCTGGAATAAATTACGCTGCAAGTGTCAGAACGAGTGAATTTGTTAGCATTTTTAAATCCTGGTTAAAGATTCACTTTGAAAATCACTTCCACCTGTTTCATTTCGTATTGTTAATTGTATTTAGTCTATTTCCTAAAGTCTTTTACAAGACGAAGGAGCCGTTCGGTCGTATATTTCAGGTGCAAAGAAGAGGGATGAAAAAGTTGAAAAAAAGACATTTATATGCGATGCTTCTGCGCTAGACCGTCTGCAAATGGTTTGATGAAGATGTTGCACTGAAACATCCCAATTAAATGTATTTTTTGCAAGCTGGACACCGAGCAGGAGTCTGTTTGAAGCATTGTGTTGAACTGTTTTATCAAATTCTACCTGAGGTTTACTTTTAGCACTCTGTGTTATTGCTTCGCCTGGTTAGCTTCATCACATCTCGTGTTTTCCTGCTGTATTGTGAAACCCTTTGGAATCTGTGCAGCAAGCGCATGGTAAGCATCTTTGACGTGGTTAATTTCCAACTGTGGCGTAATCATGCTGTGTGCCTCTGAACACTTAATTATCAAAACCAGTCACTGTGTCGTGCTATAGGTGACTTTGGCGTGCGGAGCCGCAAGTGCAGTTTGATACAAAGAACCCCCGGCGTGTGTTGTTGCGCTGTCGCACTCCTGGAGTGACGTATTATAAAAGTTTCATCCAGAACATCAAGGCCGAGCACTGGCACACCACTGTCAACGCCGCCTCTGTAGCTCCTCCACCTTCCACCGCGCTGCGTGTTATTCTACGACTTTCAAACAAAAGATGTGGAGAAACGTATGAATCTGAAGGCGTTATTTAGGGATCTTCCACGCTGTCACGTCGGCTGCATGTTACGCTGAGCAGAGATGAGATTTATACACACAGGGTTTCGCTGCAACCTCAAAACGTAGCTCTTGACGAGGGGTGGGGACAGATGCAGCATGGCCACCAGGCAAAACCACAGTTATCTTCTCTCCAACTGTTTCCCTTTGATCTCCCTAATCTGCCATTTAAAGAAGAAAGCTCCCAGAGCTGCTACATAGACACTTCTCAGTGTTTCCATCCACGCTGTTGTGTGTGCCTGCAAGCTACTGAAGTGCATAACAAAATACACGCATATGCATAATTAAACCCGTACGTTAACTCTACGAGAGGAGAAATAACGCGCATTCCTCATCCACACATAGCGGCTGCAATCTAAAGAATGCAAAGATATTTATACAAGCTATTCATCTAGTAAGTCTTCGGTTTGGTTAGTTAGCATTTTATTTGCAGATCCAACAATTTGCTTTATCTATAAAGTGTCTGAAAATAGTGATAAACGCCTCAAGTCCTGGAAAACAATGTAGAGAGAAAAGAAGAAAACTCAACAAAACAATTTGAAGGATTTATGCACAAAAAAATTACAGTAATTTAACAAAACAGTTGCAGATAATTATTCTCTTGATCGGCTAATTGACAAATGACGACAGCTACATCCATCATAAACAGCTTATTCTTGCATTTGTCGAAACCTACCTAGAGGTCAAGTGAAGAACGATCAAGGTGAGCGAGTTAAATTAAAGAGTTTAACTTGGCAAAACTAAAGTGGTTCAGAATCTTATAAATCAGCATTTTGTTCCCTTAGCTAAAAAAACAAAAAAAAAACAAACACAAATGACTAAAAATCCCCACACTGCCTTTATCTTTAACAGGCTCCAATTATGCGAGCTAATCTGGGCATATTTCCCTGGGGAGGCAAAGACATAATTGCCAGCAATCTGCACAGTGATATCAGCGCTGTTCTTGTGTGGCTTTAAAATGACTTGACACATGTGGGAAACGACGGCGCTGCATTGGTCTGAACTCCGCACTTGGCTTCATCAAAAGGGGTCAATTAGAAAAACAAACAGGCCGGGGACTCATTTTGGATGCAAGAGGAAGTGAATGAGGGCAGATGGTAGGCAGGAGACCGAGCCTGCCCTTGAGCGGTGATGTGAAGTCATTGTTGTAAAACACACACTGACTGGGGGGGGAAGGAAGGAGCGCTCACATGCATTTAGCCAGACTGAGCCGCAGAAAAATCTCAAGACAAACCAAACCCCGATAACACCTAAAGCTACTTTTCGCTGCACTTGACACACACACTGTAGGAGTCTTACCTAACAGCATCTCCACGTGTTTCAGGAATCCTCCACTTGTGTGTTCAGGCTTCTCCTGCCAGCTGATCTCCCATCAGAAGAAGTTGAAACCAACCAAAGTGCCCTCCTCGCAGATAACCCTCTCCGTCTCTTTACTGTATCTGTCTTCACCCCCCTCCTCTCACTTTGATGCTCTGCCTAAGGTGAAATGGCAGTCCTCTCTCGGTCAATGACACATCTTGGCTACGATCCAAACTGCCGCGGCGAAAGAACGACAAATATGCGCTTCAATTAAAAGTGTCATGCTCTGCTGATCGCGCTGCCCTTTATGAGGCGAAGAAGAAGAGAGAGAGAGAGAGAGAGATGGAGCGAGGGGGATTGAAAGGCAGCGGAGAAAGAAAAGAGGCTGAGAGAGAGTCTGAAGAGCAAGTGTGTGTTCTTCTACGCGTATGAGTATGTAAGGGAGAGCGAAAGAGCGAGAGAGGGAGCGACAAAGAGGGAAGAGAGAGAGAGAGAGAGCTGGCAGAGAACGGGCTATTAACAACATGAGCATCCCACATCTCCCCCCTTCTTCCTCTTCTTCCTCGCAGCATTTTCTATTCAGGGTTTCACACCTGCATGTTTCTTAAGGACACTCGAATGAGATTTCCTTCCTGGCATTACTTGACAACAATGGGCGCCATTTATCAATCTGTTTCTCTTCTGGTTTAAAACGCCGTCGTGCTGCGTTGTTCTCAGGCTGTAATCACGGGCACAAGGGTGGAGCGTTCGAAAAACTTTTCATCCGAATGATGCGCGGCACATGTTGGGGAGAATCGATTGTTCCTGAACTCCAGGTTTACATTTCCAATAGGGCAACGATCCTGAGTATTTAATCAAAGTTCTCGAGACACTCGTGCAGCACAAGATCATATAATCACCATTAGAATTTAAACAGTTCAGCCCAAGTAGCTTTAAAATCAGCTCCTGGTATGTTTTATCTTTCTATAACTCACAACTTATTGTTGCTATTATCTACATATTGGGGTGGAACAGGAAGTAGAGCCGCATGTAACACAGTACCGGAAAAGGGGAAAGATGAATTTGACAGCTTAAATTAACTGCATGACGACCACTGAGGCCACAAACAACAACAACAGATTAACTGCAAAACTAACAGCAGCACAGAAGAGTTGCAAACTGACATAATAACAACAATAATATAAATATATCGGCCTGTCAATATATGTCAGATAGATCCATTTCAGTATATATGTTAAATGGTAAACGGTCACTTATATAATGCTTTTATCCAAAGCGCTTTACGATGTGTTTCTCATTCACCCATTCACACACACATTTATACACCAGTGGCGACAGAGTTGTCATTGGGAGCAACTTCGGGTTCAGTGTCTTCTTGCTCAAGGACATTTGGACTGTGGAGGGCCGAGGGATCAAACCGCCAACCTTGCGATTGGAGGACAACCCGCTCTACCACCTGAGCCACATATATGCCCATATATGTTTTATGTGTTGTTCCATGTGTACCAATACTTTTTTGGTGTGTGTGTATGTAAAAAACATTTTGCAGAAGAAGATTCTTGGGGCAATTTAGAAATGGTGTCACACTGTACACTCTCATGCTATAACACAAACTTTGTAAAAAATCTGTCAGCAAAGGTGCCAGAGAAAATGTTCTTTTAAAAATGTAATATTTTAATGTTTAAAAATGGTAAAAAAAATAACAAGAAATACGTGTAAAATTACATTTTTTTTGCTGATTTAAATACAGTAAAACATGTACTTCTACAGTCATAAAAGAATGAATCTTTATTGGAGGTTTTTATAGTTCAAATGTAAATAAATACTTTCACTTTGTGATTTTACTAGATACTATCTGTAACTTAAAACAGGAAAATAACAAATTGTTCAAAAATTACAGGTATAATGTTAGCTTACATTTTTTACAATGCAGCACATGAAGAAGAGTACGTATAGCAGGTGAGTAGATGGTAGCGCGTCAAGCTTTAGCATGTCTTCAGCATACGATGCTAACTAATTTGTAAAATATATATGCATGTATATATAGGCTATTTATACATCATATCAGAGAATATATTTACATCAAAATTTCGGTATGGGACTCCACTTGGATCAGTAAACATCACCTTAGTCACCATATGCTACTTCAGAGGTCATACGAGTGTTTAGTAGCTAATTAATAAAGCTTTTCGTTTCTTTATGAGAAAAAAGAAGCTTTATTTCATCTTCATAGGCTGCACAGTGTTAATATCTTTAAATCAAGAGAAATTGTGTTACAAGGTGTGACTGAAGGTGCATTAGATTTTATATAAACCAATCAGCCACAACAATAAAACCACTGACAGATGAGGTGAACAATATCTCATTTTAATGCAATGTTCTGCTGGGAAACCTTGGCTCATGGCATTTATGTTGATGTTACTTTGACATGTGCCACCCATTTAAATATTGCTGCAGACCAAGCATTGGAACAGCACCCACAGATAGCAGTGATCTCCTCTAGCAGAGGAAAACCTGCAAAACCTGCTCAGGAACACCTCGAGAAAGAGTCCTAAGCATTGATCTCAATCTAGTTACAAGGGGCACCTCCACATTATTAGGCAGTGGGTTACAATGTTGGCATCGAATCAGTTGCCTCCTTTCATTTGGGCTACTTAAGTCAAAACTTGCTCCTTAAAGAATTCGATCTTTCTACAGCTAACAGCGATCCATTGCTGCCATTTCCGGAAGAGCGAGAAGCATTCTGCAAAGAGCTGAGACAGACTGAAAGTTTGGGAGATAGTAACACGTAGCTAAATGCAAATGTTTTATAGTTTTTACACCGAGGCACGATTAATTAGCAGATTTTTGATTCATTATGAAAACACTGCGAATGTCCAAAAACGAGTTAACACTCTGTAATGAGTCCTAGACGCGTTGGTAGCATATTCATAGGGCAGCTCTCTCCACACTCGGCACTGATTTAAAACTATTTGAGATTAAGTGTTTGTTTTAATGAGCAGGTGGGAGAGATTATTGTTCGACAAATAGCTCGCTAATTTTCCTCACTAATCTTCTCATGAGTACTACTGAGCGGAACTGGAGTCGGTCCCTGCCACGTTCTGCTCTGCCATCGTTCTTATAGCTGCATAAAACCTTTTACGGGGTTTTTTTGTCGCGTGATATACATTAAAGGGTTCTCTGCGTCGCCACGTATAAACCACAGCGACGCTCTTGGCATCACCACTGGGACATGAGCTAATGCCTGCATGTGAATATATTCCATCTAACAGTGGATTTAATTCCTCTGTTTAATCTGTCTTCCACTGGCTTAGCTTATTTTTATCTCTTCGCTCTTTTAAAGTCCAGTTTATACGTCTTTTCACATCGCCTTGTGTTTCTTCCCTTAACGCCTTTTATGGCTTATGTAATGCACTTTGAAGTGCCTCGTTGGTAAAATGTGCTGTACAAATAGGTTTACCTTGTCTTCTATTATATCTTTCATGGATGTTCCACTGCTTTACACGTCTTCCACGACATTTCAAAGAGAAAAGTACTTTAGTATAAGTACAGGACTGGCCCTGTTGCATTGTGTTTATGTAAATCTGAATACTTCTTGCAGATTTTCTTACACATTTTGCGATTATTTCGAAAACGTTTAAGCATTAATCCCGCTTTACAGAATATGCATTAACCTCAGGATCTGCCACCGTGTGCTTTAAGGCTGCTGGAGAGGAGGGCAGCAAGAGGTTCAGTGCGTCTGAAAACTCGACTCATTCCAGAAGCACGTCGTTTCCACATTTGCATAATCAACACAAAGGCAGTGTGCACTGCTGGGGAGGGCAAGCCTTTAATGCATTGTTATTCATTCGGCAGTCACTATAATCACTTCAAATAAACACAATTATAGTCACAGTCTCTACCCCGAAACCCTGGCCTGAAATGTCAAGTGTTGTCAACACGCACAGGCAGTCATGTTTCCATCGCTTCAGGGGACACTGCATTGACTTCCATTACGCTACACGACTACGTTCATTTCCTAAATCTAACCTTAACATACATCTGACCTTTAAACCGAGTCCCCACCTTTAAATGTAATGATTCATGCGATGACGACTTGTTTTTTTGTCCCCAAAAGGCGGGGTGAGTCCCCACAGTGTGACTACGTAAACAGATTCATGTCCTCACAACATGCGTAACACAAGCACACACACATGCACCCACAGCTTGTGTCTGCCCTGTGTGCTCCTTGCTGGCTCCTTGTCCACTTGAATAAGTGTGGCGTGGAAGCACAACACTGACCAATCCTGACAGTTTTACACTTGATTTCAGGCTGCTGCATCCAAATGGAAGTGCAGGGAGAGGGCCTCGAGCACAACGATCGCATGTCGGCCACACAGATCGTGCTTCCATGCAGCCACGGACCTCCTAAACATCGGCTGTGCGTACCTATTTGTGGACTTTGAGTGTGTGAGACTGACATGCGATGTAACTTATGGAAATCACAGACTTGGTAAAGGTGATGAGGGAGGACAGGAAACAAAGACGATAAAGGTTTACAGAGCTTCTTTGCTCTCAACCTAATTCATCATTTCAGCATGCTGCAATATCACAGCCTGCTCCACGCATAGGTACAGCTGCACTTTCTAACTACATACCGACTGATTTATCACGTCAAACCGATCAATTTCTAAACATAAGACTCCCAATCCAGCACTCCTCATGTTTGGTATGAGGTATTTAAATATATTCACTGACTCTTCAGTGTTTCTGCTTCACATGCAGAATAATGACTCACGTTTTCACCAACACAACCCCAATGCACTGCCATCCAGAACACCAAAAAGAAACCGTTAACTTTTTTTTTTATTTGACTCTAAAATCCACATACTGCGAAACAGGTGTCCACTTTTACACCATCGGTCTATGAAGGTTGTTGAATCCAGAGGCCACCGAGTCAAAAAACCCGAGAACTGGTGCACAAACCAACATCGCCCTCCATTTTTTTGTGCCTCTGTAGCTCTGTGTCCAGATCGCACTTCTTGCTGAAAGCCTCAGACTGTGCAGAATAGTAGCTGATGACAGATCAAGTGACATCTGAAAAAAATACGTCGGCTTTTGCTCTGCAGCCTCTTCTGGATGAAATGAGGCCAAGCAGCAAAAAAAAAACCTCCAGCTGACAAATGTCCTATTTCACAGCTCACATAGTATGTTTCAGCATGTTTGTGTGTGTGTGTACCTGCAGACATACCGCTCTTATGGCCTTTCTCTGACGGTGTGTAAGCTACAGTAGGCTGCATTACAGGAGCGACGAACGATTCA